AAACAATTAATTTTTTTTTTTTTTTTTTTAATTTATCTAATTTAACAATAACCAAAATGCATTAATCAGGGTTATTATAGTTAACTAAAACTTTAAAAAAGTGTTACTTGAAATAAATGTTGGCTGAAAAAAAAAATATATATATTTCATTTATTTTAATTTGATTAACTAAAATAAACTAAAACGAAATTACAAATTTATAAAAACTCTAAAGACATAAAAAAAAACTAACAAAAATTACAAAAACATACTTTAATAATAAAAACTACAATATTATCTTAAAACTTGTATTAATATAATTTGTGTCCCTTCATCTTTGATAAATTTTGTGGGGGAAAAAAAGGCTGAAGTTGCAGAAGTTATGAGGCTCTTACATCCTACTTACATAGCAATGCTTTTGGGAATTGTGCCGAGCAGATTAAATTCAGTTTACTTGCTACTTAAGTTGTAGTGCTTTGGGAAGCTGATCAAAGTCCATTCAGCACCTTGGACAGCGGCATCACTCCCAAGACTCCTGACTTTCTTTTATGACAATGTGAGATTACGTCACATCGCAAGACGAAAAACCACGCCAACAAGATGGAGAATGGAATTAGCATTTGAGTGTGGGGAGATTGGTTGGCCACTGTCAGAGGCTTTTTCCTGCATAATCTATTGCTCGGTATTGATTACATTAATGCAGTCTACTGGAGAGGCTCTCCCTAGGGTACACTGACCATCTAATGGGTGGCTGTGGCATAAGGCTGCACTAATAAGAAAACACGCTTATCAGCTCACCTCATCCTGTATCCAAATCACTTGAACAATTCAAAGAGTCACCTCTGACCTTTTGCTTCCTAGCATACTGAATTTAAACCAAAGGCTTAAATGGAAAAAGAGCACACAGCCTTTTATAACAGATCATACTGCACATATCTGAAGCTTATTGTAATGAGAATTGTGTGACATTCTCTCTTTTTTGTCTTGTTACAGTCCAGAAACAGTCTACAGCAGGGGGACATGGATGGGGCAAGACGCCTGGGACGCTTGGCTCGCCTGCTTAGCATTGTGGCCATCATCGTGGGCCTCCTTAGCATCATAATCTATGTGGTGGTTGCAGGTATGTCTCATTACAAGCATTTATTGCATCATCTAGCTACAATTAAACAATACAGATGTGACACGCTTTATGATCTTCAGTCGGAATGAGTTGCAATGAGTTGATTTTTGAAAAATGCAATTCTAAGCAAAACACTTGTATTTTGACAGTTACGGTGAGTTATTTTGATCAATTAAAGTCTTAGCTTTGAAATTATTCCAACTTTATCATGGAATTCGAATAATAAATGTCGTTTTGATGCTCTTTAATATGGTATGCTGATTTGGTGCTCAAAAAATATTTCTTATTATTAACGTTGAAAACAGTTCTATTTAATTTTTCCTAAAAACTGGATACTTTTTTTTTTAAATAATTTTTTTTTATGAATAGGAAGTTTAAAAGAATAGCATTTATTTGAAACAGAAATATTTTGCAACAATGTAGAAGTTTTTACTCACATTTTTGATCAATTTAATGCATCCTAGCTGAAAAAAATCAATAATTTCTTTACAAGAATCTTACTGACCAAAAACTCTGGAAATGTAAATACTTTTGTACTTAAGTAAAAACGTAATTATTTATTATGTTTGAATAAACATCTTGATTCTGTCAGAAATGTCTGAAAATACATTTAAGAAGATTTCCTTAAAAACAAGTTATAACAGCCACCATTTAAATGATTATATTTTGGCAAGCAGAAACATAATTTATGTCACAGAAATTCATAAAGACACTGAATTAGTTTCCGGGCCTAAAAGATGGAGCGGTTCATATATTATAGTTTGATAAGTTGCATGTATTTCCATACTCCGTGTTGCTGTTATGATTCATATGCTCTCTTTTTCTGCTCTATCCTCAGTAACTGGATAGAGGGCATAGTAAGGACGAGAAACCCATCTACAACACTACTGCAAACAAAATAAAAACCTCACCCATGATGTAATTAAAATAAGATCTCTCTCTTAACAATAATGCCACAGAAGTTAAGATAAAAAGAAACGAGGACTGTAGCAATTAAATAAGATAGCTAAAATGCATGCAGTAGGTTAGCATGCTCAGTGAAAAAAAATCCCATATGTTAAAAAGAACGGTGATGGCCTGAGGATGACACAAAGGACAAGGGGACTTTTTTTTCAAAGATGGGTGTTTGAAAACACGGCTACGCCCGGCAAGCTGCATTTTAACCTTATATTACTCCTGGTTGATCTTGCATTTGAAAATTATGCACAGAAATATTTGCAACATAACTACTGATGTATGTTTTATAAAAAGATTTATAAGTGGAGTTTAAGAGGCGGGAATGAACTAGGGATGACAAGACTGTAAGAAATGGTAATTGGGGTTGGAGATTTCATTTTTATTGATTTTGTATGTTTTGATTATTAAAAAATGACCAAAATGACCACATGCATGCCTGATCCTGTATGTGAATAACTGTCAGCATTTTTCATTACTATGTTTTTTATCTGTAAGAGTAGAGGGTATTTAAAGATGGGAATGTACATCATTGTCCAGTGTATCAAATGCTATATTCTCTCAATGGCACAATGTTCATGGAGAGCTCTGCCTTTAGCCATGAGGTTCCACTACATGTTCCATACTAGTATAGATTCTCTCAGAGAGGTAAGACTGTATCGTTACGCATGCCAGCCCTCTCTTCCCTGACAAAAACTGCTGGAGCATGGACATTCATCTAGAGGCATGCAACGGCCAGCACCATTCTGTGCCAAGACCTTTATATCAGTATGCTAAACAAATCACAGGACTATTCATCTTTACCTGGAGTTCTTTCCAGGACAGAATGCCAGTTTCCCTGTCATAAATCTCCCTACTTATCCCTTATTAATATGAGATATATATATATCAATATATTTATAGAAATATTTAGGCATGCTGTGGGTGGACAAAACACTTTTTTTTTTATCTTCACCTAGAATGAGCTTATGTGTATGGGACTTTGCTTTGACGCATCTCACAGTGTTTATTGCATCTCTGATCTGCTGATATTAATATGTGAAAATTACAGATTGTAAAATCGGAGGTACAGATACATAACGGCACTTATCTGGCTAGTTAGTTAGACCGAGTGATGGTTAAGAAGGAAATGTTTCACAGCTCAGTCTATTGATCTGCTTCATTCATACTGAATTAAGTATTTCACTGCCCTGTCATAGATTTCAAAGCACTTTATCACTTACTTTTCATCAATATTCTCATGTCCTGACAATATGTTTTGAATGCTAAAAGTATGACTTTCATGTACAATCTCCTAAAAATAGACTGTTAGTACCTAAACACCTAAGATGAGCATTTCATTTATAGGCATTATGCTGAATAACGTACTGTTTTGTGAATTCATGTGATCTAATGCTCTTTTTTTTCTGCTTCTCATGACTCTTTTGTTCACTATGAGCAATTATGTTACTGTGTTGTTCATGAAACCCATTATGCCAATATGAATGAGATGCAAAAATGCTGCTGTGTGTCTTTTAAAACTGTGATTTATTATATACAACTTTGGATTCTTGGTTCACTTGTATATCTGTTTTTCTATGTTAGGTTATTAATGTGTACCTTTGCAAGTGTGAAATAAACATTAACATGCATGGTCCACAACTGGCTTGCAGTTATTGACTGTGTACAGAGCACAGTGGCAAAGAAACATCAGCAAGGAAATTGTTGCATTAGCAAAAAGCGAAATGTTCAGCTTTCCACACAAAGAAACATAGCAAGACAACAGCTTTCAAAGCCTTCCTGCCCAAAGCGCACATATACACAAGCTTCATTTTTCATGCTACTGACTATTGCTGTTGTACATAATGCATGGCTAAGGAAATGGCACAAGATCTACTGGCTGATTTTGCACTTCCCTGGTTCTCTGATCCCTAAGTATGGCCCTCTGCCCGGCCTCACTCCAGCACTCAGCACTAACAGCCTTCTCTCACAGTGACACAAAGTGTTTAAGTACTCACAAATCTAGCCACCAGCTTAATGCCATTATTAGTCATCTAGCATCACAATCCAAAATGGTTTTATTTGCAAGGAGAAGAAATGACAAAAACAGAGCTTTTTGTCGGCGGGAACTCCAAGGAGCTAAATTGTTTACCTGAAGTACCCTGTGAGATGTTAAAAGAATTTAAATCTTTCAAAATATAATGAATTGTATAACATCTTTGCATGTCCATTTTTACATTTATTTTTAAGATATACAAATTAATGTAACCCTGCACTGGCTTTTCTATCACAATCTCACAGATGCGACTTATATTCCTGACCGGGAAACCCTGACATGGATATATGTGATGTAAAACAATGGTTCTCAACCAGGGGCCGAGGCTCACTGGGGGCCTCAGCAAATATCCAACAGGGCCTCAAGATGACTTAGAATTACTTAAAGGGTTAATGAACTGAGAAATCAAAATTCCTTTGATCTTTTGACATATAAGAGCTATTAAAACATCCTGCAAGTTTCAGAACTCAAAACTTTTGCGTTAGTCTAAAAACGGCCAATCTGCCAAAACGTCAGCTTGTGGAATGTGCCACTTTATGAAGCAATAGTGTGGCTAAACACCGCCTCTGCAGAAGATCAACGCCTGCTTCTACAGCACTGCCTGTTTAGCCCCGCCCACCAATTCTCATAAGACAAAAACATCTAAAAATCTAAATATTTATTTTAATTAACACGCTCATTTCTTTAAAATAACACATGGTCTTGTAAAATCTAAATATAAGTTTGAATATTGTTGTTGACAATGGGAGGCCTTGAAGTAAAAAAAGAACCACAGATCTAAAACAACCTTTATTGCCAATGCACCAAAATAAAAAATTCTCAACAAGCTAGTTAGGTTTTGCATGCACTGGGTGACATTTCCATATTCCCCTCGTGTGGCTTAAAATGTGGTTAATATGATTTACACAAGTACTGTAGTACGTGTTTCTGCATCAACATCATTTTTTGGTGCAATGACACACGTACCAATAAATCAATGTCTACTTTATTGTTTAGTTCAAGTGTAGGGATGGTCCCAACAAAGATGCGAAGTTAGAAATGTTCTGGCAAGTGTGTTGGAGCAAGGTAAGTTTGGAGCTAAACTCTGCAGGACATTGGCCACCCCTGATGTAGGCTGATCGTCACTACAGTTGCCCTGGAATAACTTCAGGTTAAGTGTCTCGCTCAAGGGCACAACGGTGACAGAGTAAGATTGTGATCTCTGTAAGTCTCCAGTTTCAGACTCGCTGACTACTCAGCATCTGTAACTTTTTGGAAAGCCGCCCAGGAAACCAAGTATTACATGACCCCCTCATTCACACATTAATACACAGCTGCAGCTATTGATGAAATTAAGCAGAAGGGGCTTCACTGTGTGGTGCTACATTCAGAGAACTGTTTTGCTAGCAGTCTACTTTACCCTCAACGGAGCAAAGGAATAAAAACACACAAAAATTCCAGAGCTGTCATACCTCAAAATTCATGAATAGTGTTGTAGATTTTTTTCTGGTTAGAATAAATTGCTCTGAAGTCTTGGAGGTTTTGAAACCAGATAGACTTTATTAACAACATAACAAAGTTTGAGTTGTGTTTGCAAAGACTCTTGCAAAGAGTCCAGTCTCGAACTTGCATATATATACCCTTAAAGGTGATCAATACTTTCCATATATGTGCTTGTGGTATTTTAAGCAGTGAACATGAGCCAAGGGCTTCACCATGAACATTTCCATCCAGGACTGAAATAGGTGATCATGTTTCTCTTGAGCTACTGTGCAAGATTTTAGTAAACTTTCTTTGGTACTATTCTCATAGATTACACTCAATTCAATTATATTCTAATCAATAAAATATTCTACATATTATATATGAGCACCTGATGGATAATCAGTTACATTCTCTGAACCTGTCATGCACTTGCTCCCGTAGCCCCTTTAAAGGGGTCATATGATGCGATTTAAATTTTTCCTTTCTCTTTGGAGTGTTACAAGCTCTTGGTGCATAAAGAAGATCTGTAAAGTTGCAAAGACTAAAGTCTCAAATCTAAAAAGATATTCTTTATAAAAGTTAAGAGTCAACCACGCCTACCTAAAACGGCTCGTTCTAACACGCCCCCACATGTCTATGTCACGATGTGGGAAAATTTGCATAACGCCGCCCAAATGTTCATGCAAAGAAAGAAGCCGTAACTTTTATTCTCGCTGTAGTATTGTTGTTGCCACCGCCACCATGTCGTGAAGGCGCTTTGTGTTTCGTTGTGAAAGCGAAACCACTTTGTTTGGCCTTACAAAAGAGGACGATATCTGCTTCGTCATGCCTAGAGCTGATCCGTGCTGGTCGCTGAGGGCGGCGGGCGGGCTTGAGAATGGCGCGGCCTTGCTCACTCAAGCCCGCCGTGTGTGACGCTGTGTTTCGTTGTGAAACGTTTGGCCTTCCAAAAGAGGACACGACTAGAAATCAATTTATGTTTACGCGGTGCGATGCAATGCAACGCAACGTGTAAAAAGACAGTATAAGTCATTATAATCCGTAATTATGTCCCCACTGGATGCAACAAATGCCTCGTTTATAATGGGTTTTAATGTTTTTGTCTTGTCGCTTCGGCCGGGACAAGGCAACACAGTATGGTAAGGGGCGTAACATTTCCGTCACACGCTTGAGGCATTCGGCCAATCACAACGCACTGGGTAGCTGGCCAATCAGAGCACACCTTGCTTTTCAGACATATGAGCTTTGTAAAAATCGACGCGTTTCAGAAAGGCGGGACATAGAGGAGAAACAATAATGTACAGTATGTGGAAAATAATGTGTTTTTTGAACCTTAAACCGCTTAAACACATTTCACTACACCAAATACACAAAATAATGTTTTTAGCAACATCATATGACCCCTTTAAGGAAAAGGCCCTTTTCCATTTATGAGTGTATTCCATGCCGCTTTAAATAGTTCACTCTCTTTCTAAGCACACTGCATCCTCTCGCACACAGCCAAATACATAATAGTGGATAATAGTAGAATAATTTTCTCTTATGGATAGACATAATTCTATATATTATATTGAATCAAGATTAATGAAAATATTCCACAATAGCAGAGCAGGTAATGTGCGTCATGTCTCCATTCTCACCTCATGTCAGGTAGGAGTCCCATCATAAAAACACTAGGAAAGAACAAAAGGCAACATACAGAGCAAAAAACAATATGGAGGTGACAAATTCATTCATAAAATAATTCCCATTAAAAAAATAATTTATTCTCTGGGCTGGTGTAAAGAGAGCATGTTTCAATCAGCAGGGGAGGTGATGAGACTTCCAGTGGAGTTCTGTGTGTGGCCTATTAGCTTACAAATGACTGCTGCAGTACCTCTATACTACAGACACATTCAGGAAGAAAAATTTGTGACTCTTGCTGTAATCTTGCTCTCATCTACAATTAGCATCTTTTAGATATTTTAGTGCTGTTGCCACAAAATCCATCAAAAATACAATAAACTCTCTGGAAGTATGGTGAGAAACACCTCCTATGGTGATCTGTGATGAACCTTTGGTCAATGCGGCCCATTTCTTCTGTAAAAGACCCTGTGTCCCTCTACATTTGTTCTGCATTTCAGGGCACCTGGTCAATGCATGGACTGGAACAGCAGGAGAATGATGCGACCTTTAGATAATGGACCACCAGGGAACAGAGGAAAAGGGAGGAAAGATTTCTTAGTTTCAAACAGCCTATTCTAGTTTATTGTTTTGGGGAAGCTGATTTCTCAATTGAGCGATTATATTGAGTTTATGTGAACATCACTCTCTCTTTATGCATCTATGGAAATACCTCAGACAAACAGATTCCACCAGTCTAACAAGAACTATGGCATATAGGCAGCCGGTCTGACTGCTCCAGATGTGAGAGACTCAGCGTAAACGCTCACTTTTATGGATGGGACATCATTTGTAAACACAAGAGGGATATAGAATCAGGTGGTGACAATAAGGCTTCCAATCCTTGCTTCTCTTTCCTACAACCCTGCTGCGTAGAGTGCTGGTCTTACCTCTACATGCAATCCCTGTGCTAGTTTTTCATTCGCCTGGATCAATGGTTTTCAGCTTGTATATTCATCATGTTAAAGCTCTGGCCTGCTTCTGTCTCACACTCCAGTTTCATAGGAGGAGCTGTGTGGATGCAAGTCAGCTTAGACAAGTGGCCGTGGGCTGTGAGTACAGGCTTGTTGGTTTAGCCAGATTTTCTTAACTTGAACCTGCTCTAAACTTTAAAACACATCAGTAAAATCATAAAACAAAAGCACCTTGAAAGAGAAGGGTTAGATATGGCAATGCAAGTTTTTTATTTTTGGACTCCCGTTTTCCAACATTCCTTTCTCCAGTGTAAAATGTCATCGACGAGAGTGTTTAGAAATATCTAAAAAATAGAAGCTTTAGAGGACAGACCTCTAGTGTTTGACACACATTTTTAATATCCTGTATATGAATAATTTATTAATTCACAAAGTACACAGCATGATGAGAAACCCTCTAAAAGGATCATCAAATTAAAACCCCCTTCCGATTAATAATATACAGGAACAGCACAACGCCAAGTTGATGCTTCACAGCATCGCTTTTGTCTCAAAGCCACTGTGTTATAATATGCTCTTTGAAATCTATTCCTGTTAGTGATTTGGTCTCCAGTCCCAGTTCACATCTGAACAGCGCATTGTTTGTAGTATAGAAACAAAAAAAGGCTGTTAGAGCTAAACCCCTCCCAATGCTAAATACAAATAAGGTCCATGCTGGCTACAATCAATCCTGTTACCAGACTAGGCCAGGTGGGCTTCTGTTTTGTGGCCCCAATGGTCCGCCTCTCATTGAGCCCTTTCTCAAGGCTTCGCCACTGCTCTGCAGAACTCCCCCCAAAAGAAGTCGGTTAGCTCCCCTGTCCGTCAGTGAAAAGCATATAGCAGCAGAAGGATGGTGCAGATGCCGATGACTCCTCCCAGAATTAATGAGTCCCTTCTCTTCCTCAAGTTGATCCGCTGTATTAGGTTATTGATGGCAGGGAAACGGTCTGAAGTAGGGGGTCAATTAAGGAAATACAGGGAAATAGAAGATTGTCTTTTCTCAAATCCAGACAGCAAGTAGTTTTCAAGAATGGATTCAAGAAGATGGATGTGGCTTATTACAATTCGGGTATTACAATTCTGATGCTGATACTTTACATTTAACAGTGTTAATAAATGATGTGTGTTTTAACTTAGGGAGTGTTCCATGATGGCAAAGGTAATCTAAATGTAAAACAAGGGGAAATGAGCACTTGCATATCCGAAGTAGGCAGATTCCAATAAACCAATAATCAATATTGCACTGATACATTATGCAACCCTAATGCATACACGCACTCCTTGTAGAAATCAAGGATACTGGCCAGGGTGTTGACCCTGCTCTGTATAGACTTCAACAATCCTCGCTGGGAGGTCATGTTCTCCTTGGTTGCCATGGCAATGCTGTGAAAAAATAAAATAAAAATAATAAAACCACAAGAGTAGATTTATTGGCACTGGCCCATCACAGCACATATGCACTGTAAGTGGTCAAAAAGTGCTCCGATCATCGCGTCAAGGGCACAGCAGCTGTCAGAACTGCAGACGCAGGAAAAGGTCCCTCAAAGACAGCAAATGTCTCTTTCACTAGGTTTGATTTCAGACAGGAAGGCAGAAGCTGCATTCATCTAAAGCTCCAGAGACATTAGCTATACACAGCTAGAAACCAAAAGTATGCAGAAAAGTGACCAACCATTACATATCAATTTCCCTTGATACTGCAGAAACTGAACAGCTCATATTTTGGACAAATCAGGTTTTCCTGCAACAGACATCATTTGTCCTAACTTAAGGCATAGTTCATCCAAAAATGAAAATGGCCATTTACTCACACTCATGTTATTCCAAACTTACTTACTTTCATAATTTCTTTCTTTCATGGATCACAAAAAAAAGAAGAATGTACTGTTCGTTTTTTCCATAATTAAAATGGAAACTGAAGCTTTCAAGCTTCAAAAAGGATGGAAAAACCACCATAAATGTATCATAAAATGGTCGATATGTGTTACATATTAGTTTTACAAAACTTAAAAGCTACAATAAGACAGAAATGGGAAGCATGAATGTGTAGGATGTGTTTGAGGCAATACCTGTGAAATTAGAGCAAGACAACACAATTTTAATGCAGTGTGCAATGCACTTGCCATTAGTTGCCAGTTTCTTGATCTCTGAGGATGAATTAGGTAGTAGCCAAACCCCACTGACACAAACAAGGCATAAAGCACATTAAACAAGACTGTGCACCCTGAGGGCCACAAGGTCTCCGGTGTTTTGTACTCCCAGGTGCCCTAAGTTACAAACAAGGAGTTATTTTGATATAACCAGAGTTTTGCTGTGACACCTCTATTCATACCCTTTATCATCTGTTTGACTTCCGTTCTCAGCCCATGTCCCTGAGCATCTGTACTTTACGAAATGATGAACACATGAGCATAATCTCCTAAACTTCATATTTGGGTGTGTATTCTATATTATGACTTCCAGCGTTTGTTTGAATATGCTACCTGCAAGGATGTATACCTAATAAAGTCCTGCTTGTGATAGATGGAAGACTAATCTGACATCATTAAAAGAGAAACATGAGCGCCCACACTCCTCAGAGATCAGAGCTAAGATGAAACATTAAACAATGAGCTCTCATCTTGGTGGCTCCTGGCTGTTGGTGGTACAAAAGGAAGATAATGATTACAAGCAGCTGATATAGCATATTTTTTGCTTGAATAAGACTGGGGTGGGATAAAAAGAGCTGCACAGACCAAGAGCCAACTTAATTAAGCACTAATGCCGGTTGCCAGCTGTGGGGTTTCCCTAGGTGCAGCAGTTAAATTGTAGGCTACTCTGATGCCCCAGCATAGATCTGCAGTGAGGAAAAGATGGTAATGCCCAACAACACAATATTCACTACTAAAGCACCTCAGGAACAAGGCAAAGCTGGCAGATTCATGCAAGTGACATGCTTTTCTGTTAGTTTCTCTTAAAGGGATAGTTTACCTAAAATTATTCTGATTCATCATTTACTCACTCTCATGCCGTTCCATATGTATGATAGGCTTGCTGCGATAGACGGTGTTTTCGGTTATACCGGTTGTTAAGCCGCAACATCGGTTATGTCATTTGCCCACTGCGGCACTATTTTTATAGTAACAAAAATTATTTAGCCTAGTTCAGTTAGAGGACAGACACTTTTAAAAACTAAACGCTCAATGCAGCGTGCCGAACCGTGTGCGAACGACAGGTGTCAGATTTTAATTTATCACGTGAGGAGAGTGAGTCGAGCTGACTGACAAGAGTGA